GCCCTTTTTTCGTGCTTTCAGTCATTTCCAGGCTTTGCCATGCAAGCAGCTCACACAGCTATGCCTGTCCCCTACCTGGTTCCTAGAATGGCTGGCAGGGACGCAAGGGCCGCGGCAGTCTCAGGCAGCACGTGGGGCCTGGGGATGGGGGTCCCAGGGGCCCCAGGTGTGCCCTGGGTCCTCCTCAGTCAACACTAAGGTGCAGAGCAGGAGAGATGTAGGGGTTAACGCGCTCGGCGCGTAAGCCGCCAGCCTCAGTTTGGTCCCCAGAAACACGTGTCTGCTCCCAGGCACCACGAGGTGCAGACCTGGAGGCCCTGAGCACCCCTGGGGTCATGTGGGCAACTCCTGGAATCGCAGGGCCCAAGCTGCACCAACTCCTGGCCTCCCATGGACTACTCTGGTCCAGTTGGTCAAAAATAACCCAAGGAAGCTCCTGGCCCCATTCCTCCAGCCAAGCCCTGCTCGGGAAGCACAAGAACCAAAACTGTAAATCATCGGAGGTGCTGAGAATTTCGCTGGGCCTTGAGAAGCAGCCTGGAGCCTAGCTCCTGGCCGTGCCAGCAAGTGGAGATAGAAGAACGTGGCCACAGGAGAGGTTTCTGAATGTGCGGTGACCAAATGATGCAGATCAAGCTGGCTCACCCTCCAGGTGTTTCTGGGGGCGCCCCCACCCTGTCCAGTGTCTCTACTGAAAAGCGAAGTGCTTGAGGGAGATGCTTAAGCTGCCATGCTCGAGGCTGGAGAAGGGCGAAGCTAAGCTCAGGCTTGGATCTTGGGGCTTTGGGGGCACCCGCCAGGGGGAAACGTGAGACACTAGCAAGCGGCTCGGGCTCTAGACCTGAAGGGAACTTCGTGATAGATGCAGCCGGCGAGTGGGCTATGCTGTTTCAGGAACAGCTGGGTGCAGGCGCACAAACAGGGCCTTTAGAACCTTCACGATTCTTTTTTGCCTCTGTGCTGGTCACGCACTCTGAGGTCGGTTTTCTCAGCGGTGCGGGCGGAACCATTAATGATGTCAGGCTCCTACTCCAGCAGCTCAGCAGCCCAGGTCCACAAGGGGCTTCTTGCAGGTTTGAGGACACAGGGACGCCCAGGCACTGAGGGCCGAGTGGCAGATGCAGGGTCATGACGGGGATGGGCTCATTCTATCAGGTTCCATGGAAGAGTGAAGAGGTTCCCCAGAACAAGGGCGTGCGCGTGCGTGTGTGTGTGTGTGCGCACTGCTGGAGTGGGGAGGAAAGAGGTACCCCAGAAGGTGCCCTTTATCAGGAAAGCCAGATGGATTATACCTCTCTGCTCTCAGTTCCTCCAAAGAGCAGAAAAGGGGACTGGCCCCATGCAAAGGGATCAGGGTGGCGGGGGACACGGGGGGGGGGGCAGGGAAGAGTCCTGCCTGGGAGGCAGAAGCCTGACAGTCCCAAGGCTTTAGTGTGACCGGGCCTCAGTGTCCCCACCTGTCAAAGGCTGGCAGGCTGCAGGAGGGTCCTGAGTGCCTGACCTCTCCTGGCATCACAGGCACCTGACCGAGGGATTCTCAGTCCCTGTAGCTCGCCCCTGGGACCCTTGGTGAGGGGAGCGACGCAGTTTTTTTTCCAGGTAGGGCCCTTTGGCTTGTCTGTTAGGGGATTTGGCGGCTGCTCCCGGTGGAGATGGAGGTGGGTGCAGCGCTGGGTTAGGGAGGTACTGGGGCATTTGGGGAGACTCAGCCGGGGCAGAATGCCAGGGTCTCAGATGGGCTGGGTCTGGGCACTCGGCCCCGGGATCCTTCCTGAGAGGCCTCAGACGAGTTGGCAGGGCAGAGCTGACCCACCCGCCACTGTCTGGCCCCAGGACGCTGACCCTGGGCCCCATCCCCCACACTCCTGGACCAGGAGGAAGGCCCCTCCATCTCTTGGTCCTGGTGCCTGGCTGCACTGTGCACCCCTAACAGAGATGCAGTAACGGAATTCTCTTCGGGGCCGCAGCTGCTGGTTTCACGGTGCTGGCAAGGATCCTGGCTCCGTGCTCAGGAGTCACTCGGATGGAGCCAGGGTCGGCTGCAGGCAAGTGAGCACCTGAACCCCAGACTGTCTCTTTGGCTCAGTAACCAACGCAAGAGCCTTCTGGGGAAGGTGAGTCTTAAGAGGGCTGTCCATCTGCAAGGCGGCCAAGGGTCAATCCCACCTGACCCCCGAGGGCCACCCTGATTGACCCCACCCCCCACCCCAAGCAACACATCAGGCATAGCCCAAGTACCATCAGCCGAGACCCCCAAAACAAAAACAGAATTGAGTCTCCCATAGGGCCAAGTGCTGCCATCACTGTTGGGCTTCACTGTGGCCCCAAACAGACATGGAATCCACCCCATTCTACAGAAGGGGAATCTGGACTCAGAGAGACCAAGGGACTTGCCCAAGGACACACAGCCTGAGTGATGTCGTCTCCGTCGGCATGTGGGTGAGGCTCGAGAGGCTACACTCGGCGGTGAGGGGAGCCCAGCCAGGGCACAGGTGCTGGGTGAGCAACGGAGGGAGGAGACGGTGGCTGCAAGCAGGGGTGCGAGTGCACGCTGCCAAGGCTATCCATGTGGCTCAGGCCGAACGAATCGGGCAGGGAAGGGTTTTTCCAGAACGTGGGAACAGCCTGAGCGAAGGGGTGAGGCAAGCGCCAGCAACGCTGGAATCAAGGCATTGTGGGTCACGCAGTGGACAGGGGTCACCAGCGGCACCCTGAGAATGCCCACAGGCCTAGAATCCCCCCAGGATAACCGGAGGGGCCGAGGCCACCCCCACCGCCTGGTCTGGCTTCATGGGGTGGGGGACATCGCCCGGCAGGGAGACCGGAGGGTGGAGGGCACGGAGGCCCGGGAGGCCGTGGGTGGACAGGAAGCCGGCCATTCCTCCCTGCGAGCCCCGCAGAATGGTCTCTGTGTGCACCACAACAAAAAGGCTTTTCTGCCAAGTTCGACCGAGGGGGAGGAGGCGACTGCTCCCCCCACCCCAGCCTGAAAGGAGGCTCTGTTGGTGACCCTGGGGTCTCCCCTGCGGAGAATGTGTGTGTGTGGGGCGGGGGGGGGGGGGATGCACGGGGCCCCCACCCATCCTGATTCTCCAGCAGCCCCAGGGTGGGTGCGCCTGGCTATGGACGTCAGGCTGTCTGGGTGCGGTGCCCAGCATCCATGCGGGCAGCAGAGGGGCCTGGACTGCACATCTCTCCTGAGGAGTGGGGACCCGTGAGCCAGAGGGCATGCTGGCACACGGGGTTCTCGCCAAGTGCCAGCCACCTGGCCATTCATTCTCCCTGTAGCCTGAGAGGTGGGTGGGGTCACCCCCTCACCAGCTCAAGAGTTCACAGTGGCGAGGCAGGAGTGCTTCGCACTTTTTTGTTTGGGGCGGGGGGGGGGGGGGCACACCTGGCTCTGCACTCAGAAATCACTTCTGGATAGAGCTGGAGCGATAGCACAGCGGGTAGGGCGTTTGCCTTACATGCGGCCAACCCAGGTTCAATCCCCAGCATCCCATAGGGTCCCCCGAGCACCGCCAGGAGGAATTCCTGAGTGCAGAGCCAGGAGTAACCCCTGTGCATCGCTGGATGTGACCCAAAAAGAAAAAAAAATAAATCACTCCTGGCTGAGCTCAGGGGACCGTATGGGGGTGTTGGGGATCAAACCCAGGCTGGCTGTGTGCAAGGCAAATGGCTTCCCTGCAGTACTATGACTCTGGGCCTGAGCCTCTCAACATTTGAGACCTCGGAACTCTGCAGCCGCAGAAGTGAAAACAAAAGGCACGCTGGGGGGTGACCGGGCTGGGAGAATGGAGGTGACACTTCTTTGTCTGGGATGTCTGAATTGTGGCACTTGGGAATTAGCCAGAGGGAAAGGGACCCAGGGTGAGCTGAGGTCAGAATCGCACAGAAAACAACTTCCCGAATCAGGCCCGGGGTGGGGTTGGGAAGCGCTCAGCACACCTGGGAGAACCCCAGGTTCCATCCCTGCCACCACATGGTCCCCTGAGCACTGACAGGAGACCCCTGAGAGAGAGAGCACTGAGCAGAGAGCAGCCCCCCCCACAGTAACCCCCTCCCCCATACACACACACACACACACAAAACAAAGAAAATGAAATAAATATGCGGGTTCTTGTTTGATGTGCGCAGGAGGTGGGGTGAGGGGTGTTCCGCCCGCCTCTCACTCATCTGGGTCCCCTTGGCGGGCTCAGCTGAGCTCTGAGGTGGGCCACCCTGAGACTGGCCAGACTTGGGGGTTGGCGGCTCCTTGAAGCCTGCCCTCCGCTTGGCCAGCTCCCTCCTGGACCCGCACGTGGCTGCCCACCTCACACCGACTTCTGTGGGGGGCTCAGGGTGAAAGGCGGGGGTGTGGGGCGCCAGGAGTCCACACAGGAAAGTGGGCAAGAGGGCGCCTGCCTGGCCCCCGCCCCCATGTGGGCTGCCAAGGCCTGTGTGTTGCTGGGGGGGACGCCCGCAGGCCGTTTCCTCGACTGCCTGAGAGGCCTTTGGGCTTCCCGAGGGCCTGTGTTTCCTACTCTGCGCAGCCAGCTTTCAACACAAAGAGAGGAAAGGGTGGGATCCAGGGGGGCTAGGAAGGGGTGCACAGCTGCAGGGGCGGGTGGAAGGACCCTGCCCGTGGCCCTGCGGGGGGGCCTGACCTGCTGGGGGCCAGCTGGTGGTGGGACCCTCGCAGCTGAACACACTCCTGACAGCCAGTCAGACCCGAGACTCAGCCTGGAGCACGAATGTGGGGTCCCAGGCTTGCCCGACACCAGGGCAGAGGCCCCTGAGCCTGTCCAGGTTTCCTGCTTCAGAAAGGAGGGGGCAGGGATTGGGGGGCGGGGTGGGCAGGCTGTATGCAGAGGGAAGCTAGAGCAGAAGCAGGCACAGGGCGGGAGGCTCTGCCCCGCCTCTTCTCCCCTGGGGAACCCCGGAAGACGGGGGCCTGGACTGCTCCCCGCCTGGCCCTCTCTCCCCCTGAGTGAACCGCACCCCCCCTTCCCAGCTCAGCCTGCCCAGGGTGTCCCGTCCACAGGCCCTGGGGAAGGAAGGGGCCCCCACCCCCCAGGCCGCAGCCCCCACAGCGCAAGGCCTCTGACAAAGGAGGCCACGCCAGCCACCAGTTTAATCAACGCAGGTTATTTACAGGCGAGACCTATGTGGGGAACCCGGGTGCCCCGGCTCGGAGGGCAAGGGAGCTCCGGGGACAGGACTAGGTCCAAGGACAGTACTGTTCCCTGTTCCCGCCACAGCCGCACCCCCGTTCTCTCTGGGCTGGGGGGTGGGGAGCATCTCTCAGGCCAGCGGTCTCTGGGGTCACCAGCACACAGCAGGCAGCATGGAACTGGGCAGCTGGCCTCTCCCCATCTTCCAGCACAGGGGCTGCAAGCAGGCAACCCCGGACTTAGCAGTCCCTCTTCCTGGAGGGCGGCGGGGGCACTGGCACACCGGGGTGGGGGGTTCCTGAGACCCCTGAGGACAGTGGCATGGGTACCAGGGGGCAAAAGGGAGGCAGGGAGAGGGCAGGTGTGGCAACAGGGAGAGAAGAGTGGGTGGAAGGGGCTGGGAAGTAGCTGGGGGTGGCCCAGGGCTCCCCGACAGGGAGGGGCCTTGGCAGACCCCTTTGGTCCTTGGTAAGGCAGGCCTAGGGCCCCTTCTCCAGAGGGAAGGAGTGTGGGCTCGGGGATGGGGGGCGGGTGGCAGGGATGGGACATGGGGGCTGGGGGATGCTGGCCCCTCGGCAAGCCCAGAGCAGTGTGGGCCCTGGGACAGCAGCAGCTGAGTGAACTGGTGTGGTCAGGGGTGGGCCGGGAAGGAGGCCAACCTCACGGGGGACACTCGGCATCACGGCCACCTCCCACTGGGGCTGGCTTGGGGCAGAAGGAAAGACCCTACTGCTTCCTAAGGCAGAGACTGGGGGCTGCGGACCCCCCCTTCGGGCCCAGCAGTTCCCACAACCAGAAGCTTCCGGCCACAGAGGGTGGGCTGGGCGGAACCCCAACCACCCCATGGGAAAGGGGGGCCCACTTTGCCCCCGGCAGGGCTGTGACCCCCCAGCCCCCCAATTACAAAGCCCGAGCCCCCTCCCTGCTCTAGGCTGCTGCGGGAGGGGGAAACAAATGCAGTTAGTGAGCTAGGCGCCCACCAAGGAAGAGTAATCCGGGCATAAATAAAAAAGGGGGCACGCCGGCGGGGCGGAGGCGGGGGTAGGGGGCGGCTGAAGCTCTACCCACCAGCCACGTGCTTGCTCGGCACTGGGCAATTCTCAGAGCAGCGGGGCCCCAGCAGCAGCAGCCGCCGCCGGGGTACCCCCTCTCTGCAGCACCACGCCCGGGCGTGGCCCGGACGCCCCTAGCACCGTGCCCGGGCTCAGACCCACTCCTGCAGCGAGCGCTTGCAGTAGAGGAGCATGCGCGGGGCGCCCTTGCGCTGCAGCTGCACGAGTGCGTAGGTGAGACCCAGCACGCACAGCAGCAGCAGCAGCGGCGGCACCAGCACCAGCACCATGTTCACCGTCCGCGTCACCTCCTCCATCTGCACCACCACGCGGCTGCCGCCGTCCCCGGCCCCGCCGTCGGGTCCCCGGGGCCGGGCGCTGTCCTCCTCCTCCTCTTCCTCCTCTGCCTCCTCCTCCTCCCGGCCCGCCCCGGGCTCGGCACCCACGTCGGGGTTGAAGGGCGGCCGGGCCACGTCGGGCCAGCGGGATCCCGGCTCCCCGTGCTCTTGGCAGCCCATTAAGTCCCGCAGGATGGACTTGGGGTAGCCGGGCTCTATCCGCAGGCGCTCGTTGTCGAACTTCCAGTACTTGGTGCCCTTGTAGAAGTAGGTGTAGGCTGCAGGCAGGGGGGGACACGCAGGCCGGAGAGGGGTCAGGGCACGGGGATCCCCCACTCCGCTGAGCAGACCCACTTTCCAACACCTCCTGTGCCCTGGATGAATTTTCTGCTTCCTGGCTCTGCACCCTCCAAGACACAGAGGACCTCGGGTGTGGGTCCAGCACCCAGGGCTGACCACTAACCTCGGCTAGGGAGGGGCAGCAGCTGGAGGCACTACCGGCCTCACCCACCTGACAGTGCAGTGGAGACCTAGGCTAAGCTGGACCCAGCCTCCTGCCACCCGCCATGGCCCGTCAGCCCTTCAGGCCTGGGGACCGCCTGGGCTCTGCTGAGCAGAACGGGTTGGGGGGAGGGAGGGCCCAGAATAGCTGTCGCGGGAGGGCGCTAGTGGCGGTTCTGGACTCACCTGTCCCCCCGCTGTTCTGGGGAGGGGATTTCTCCATGGCTGGGTGATACTGACAGAGCCTGGCTGCTCTAGGAGGGGCTGCACCCTGCCACCCCTCAAGCTGCAGGAGAGAGCCACAAGCAAGTGTGATGGGCACGGGCAGTCCTGGGTGGGATCTGGGCACAGGCTCCAGCTCTCTGGTTCATGTTCATGTCCGGCTGCTCCAAGGGGCTCGGGGAGGATGCCAGGGACTTCAGATCTGACCGATGTCCTCTGTCTAAGCCCTCACAGTATCAGTTCCCAGGGGTAGCAAGTGCTGGACAGCCAGGGCAGGGGTGCTGGGTACCTGCGTCGTTGCTCAGGAAGGCCCCTTTGGGGGAGACGGGGACGCCCTGCCAGATGCTGATGGGCTTGGGGTAGCCGGGGTCCCCACGCTGCGTCTCCTCATTGAAGCGCCAGTACCTGTGGGAAGTGGGAGCTGGAGCACTTCACCCCACAGCTGCAGGGGTGCGGGCGCAGGGAGTGGCACTCACCTGTCCTGCTGGAAGAAGAAGGTGTGGCCCGTGGGCTCCCACCAGATGGCCGTGTCGATGCGGTCGTAGGGGATGCCCAGACCGTAGCTGGTCAGAGGCTGCGGGTAACCCGGCTCCAGGTTTGCTTCCCGGAAGAGCCAGTAGCGATCACCTGTGGGAAGGGGCAGAGGGGCGCTGAAGGAGGGCAGAGTGCACCATCACACTCAACACAGACACACACCCCCCATACACACACACCCCTCATACACACACACCAGTACACACATAAACACCCATGTAATATACATTGGGCTGGAGCGATAGCACAGCGGGTAGGGTGTTCGCCTTACATGCGGCCAACATGGCCGACCCGAGTTCGATTCCTCCGCCCCTCTCGGAGAGCCCGGCAAGCTACCGAGAGTATTCGATATGCCAGACACAGTAACAACAAAGTCTCCAATGGAGACGTTACTGGGCCCGCTCGAGCAAATCGACGATCAACGGGAGGGCCTTTACCTTTACCTTTAATATACACACACCCTTCCACACTAATACACACACATATGTACACACATAAACACCCACACAACCCTTACACACCAATATGCACCCATACACACACACACCCATATACAAACATTCCACCCACATACACACAGACACATACATACATACACAGACACAGACTTATACATGCATACCTATACACACACCCATATACAAACACACCCATGTACACACATAAACACCCCTATAATGTAGACACACACATCTTTCCACACTAATATCCATACACACATACACACACCCATATACAAACATTCCACCCATATACACACACAACACACCCATGTCCACACATAAACACCCACAAATACAGATACACACATCCCACACACACCCATTACCCCCATATATAAACATTCCACACCCCAACCCACAGGCAGAAATCCACTGACTGACACCCACAGACTCACAGCCACACGCAACCTCACTCACCCCCATGTCGGGCACACTCGGCTCTCCCAGGTACCAGAACCAATGACCCACATTCCTCACACTTCACTTGTGAAACCCTCACCCCACGGTTCTTGGACAGAGGGAGAGCGGGTGTCTGGGTGTAGGGGCTGCAACCTAGGGTACCCCAGCACATGGCCCAGCACTCCTCACTTCATTGAGGTTGGTGGGGCTAGGACACAGCCTTGAGGAGCCGCCCAAGGAGGCTGCTGTCTCTGCAGACAGACCCTAGAAATCCTGCCTGACCAGGGCAGAGAGGAGTGGGTGTGGGGGAGGCGAGGAGGACGAGAATAGAGTGCACGCTTGCCCTCACTTAGGCAGGCTCAGGGTTTGTCTATCCACCCCCCCCACTTGTGCTGGGGGCCTCACCCCCATCCCTCAGAGGAGCCCCGAGTGGACGTCAGGCCCTGATCTGGACTCCCCTCCTGAGCCCAGCGGAGTCCGACGTCAGATATGATAACAGGAGAAGACTTACCTTTGAAGAAGACGAAGCGCCCATCCTGGCGCTCATAGGCGGCACTGATGTCACTGGGCAGTCCACGCCAGAAGTGCCCGATGGGCATGGGGTAGTTGTCCAGGACCCGGTTGTGCCGGACGCGCCAGAACCAGCGGCCCTGGGGATGGAGTAAAGTAGGCTCACTGCACCGCCCAATCCTGGGAGCTCCCTGCTCCCCTTCTTCCCAGCTCAGCTCAGGAGGCTGTGGAGGTCACTGAGGGAGGAGGGTGGCTGAGAAAACTGGGGCGGCAGCAGGGGGAGCACGCTGGCAGTGGGAGACCCCTACGTTAACTGTGGGACGTAGTTAACCCCTACGTTAACTGGGTCCTACCCTCGCCCAGGAACTGGCTCCTCTTGCTTGGGCAGGAGCTGCTAGGATGGGGGGCAGGTGGGGGTGTGGCCAGGGGCGGGGCCAGTGCCAGGGAGGCGGGGAATGGGCGGGACCACAAACTGGAGGCGGGGCCAGTGTCAGGAAGGGAGGGTGTGGGTGGGGCCAGTGAGGGAGGCGGGTCCTGGGCGGGGTCAAAGGCAGAGGCGGGGCCTGAGATGAGGAGGCGGGGCTGGAGTAGGGTCTGGGAGGAGCCAATGGCTGGGGGATGGGCGGGGCCACAGGCAGGGCAGGCTGACCTTGAACACAAACATCTCCCCTCTAAGCACCGCCACTGTGTCGAAGTTCCCATCACAGATGTTGGGACCATACTGGTCGGGGCGGTCAGTGGCACGAGGTTGAGCTGGGGGTCCTGGCTTGGGGGGTCGCGACTGCGGGGGCCTGGGAGGCCGATGGTCTGGTCGTCCTGGCCGCCCGGGTGTCACCGTGGGGAGAGGCCGGGTGGGCTGTGGTCGACCATCTGGGGTGCCTGCAGAGCAGGGGTAAAGAGAGGGTAATGAGGGAGAGCCCCAGAATCGAGCTAGAATGCCAGGTTGTCCCAGCACCCCAGTCTGGATGGGCAGGGTACCCAGCTGTGAAAACTCCTCCCACAGTGGACCCTTGCCCACACCCACCACCCTCAGGACCCCCTTCTCCACTTCCCACACCGGGGCTGGGGTGCTGTGCCCAGGCCACCCCTGCCTCCACATGCCCCAGGGACATCCTCTTCTGGCTGCTGTTCTCAACAGCCACAAAGAAGCAGTGGACACAGGCAGAGGTCCCTGCGGGGACCCACTCACCTGGTCCTGGGCCTCCTGTGGGAGCCTCCGTAAAGAGCCAGAATAGGCCCTGACCCACCTAACGGCCCTCAGGAGGCCTCACCCAGAGGGTTTCTCAGGTGGGGCCTGGGGAGGGAGATACCAAGGGAGCGGCTGCCACCTGCTTTAAAACCCCCAGGATGTGACAAGCCGGCAGCACTCTGCAACACGGCAGACTGAGAGGAACGGGGTCTGGGTCTCAGGAACCCCAGGTCTAAGGAGCCTATCAGGGCGGCCGAGGTGGAAGTGGGGGCCAATGAGAGAATGTCTCTACAGGTGAGTGGGGGGTGGTCAGTTATGCTAGGGGAGATGACCCTGGCCCTCTGGGCCCCACTGTGGCGCCCGACCTCCCTGCGCCCCTCACCGTAGAGCTGCTGGATGCCCCGCAGGTCGTCCTCAGGCAGCTGGAAGCTGTCGGTGTCCATCCACTGGTAGAAGGGTGCCATGATGGCACTGGGGTTGCTAGAGTGCTCCAGCCCCAGTGCATGGCCCAGCTCGTGCACAGCCACCAGGAAGAGGCTGTTCCCTGGGGAGGTGGTGGCGCGGTCAGCTCAGGCTTCTCCTGGCTGCTGCCTCACTCCCAGAAGAGTGAGTGTGCCATGGGGGAGGTCTGGGTTCCATCACCAGCACAGCACAGTGCCCTGAGCACCACTGGCTACAACCCCGGGCACAGGCAGGTATTTCTCCCAGCACCAATGGTGTGGCACAAAGTTTTTTTTTTTTTTTTTTTAAAAAAAGAGGGGTTGGAACTCCAGGGGGGTAAGGGTGCTGTCCCTCCGCCTGCTCCCCCTAGGCAGCTCGGTGGCTGCCATCCTCCAGAGGCCATTGGTCAGGTTTGGGCCCTCAGTGACAAGACATGTGGGGCCTCACGGGATAGGGGTGGAGCCAGACCTTTTCTCCCCACCCCAACAAGACCCCAAGTCGTTGCCCATGAATGGCCTCTCTGGCTCCTGATCAAGCTGCTTAATGGCCATGATCCCAGAGACTCAGAAACAAATCTCGGAACCCAGTGGCTTTTGGCAGAAATGTGTCCGGACCCCGCAGTAGGTTACTGTCACCGGGCCACCCCAGCGGGGAAAGGGTGCTGTCCCTCCACCTGCTCCCTCTAGGCGGCTTGGTGGCCGCCATCCTTCAGAGGTCACTGGACAGTCAGGTTTGGGCCCTCATGGGATGGGGGTGGAGCCGGCCCTTTCCTTCCCGTCCCAATGAGACCCCGAGTTGCCGCCCATGAATGGCCTTTCGTCAAGCTGCTTAACGGCCATGATCCCAGAGACTCAGGAATAAACCTCAGAACCCAGCAGGTTTTGGCAGAAATCCCTCCAGATTTAAGTGTTAAAGTTTCGGAATTTCAAAATTGCGCAGCCACTACTGCAGCCACACGCCATCATAGGTCATTCTTAACCAGGAATAAAAAAAAACAAATTGTCTACTCTTGCTTTTCAGGAGATCTGAGTGTTGGGGTAAAATCCCAAATAATAATGGTGGGTCTGGTGTCAAAATATTGAATGTGATCAAAGTAGAGAGAGAGAGTAATATGGAAATCATCTGCCCCACAGGTAGGGGGAGGGTGTGGAATGGGGGTAGACTGGGGTTGTTGGGGGTGGAGAATGGGCACTGGTGAAGGTATGAGTGTATCACTGGATGACCGAGACTTAAACCCGAAAGCTTTGTAACTGCTCTCATGGTGATTCCATAAATAAAATCATAAAAAATAAAAAAAATAATAAAGTAAGGTGGAGTTCATTCCCAATTCAATCAGCCTAAACAATAGTTGAGTAAATAGCAGTACTCCTACATTTTAAAAAAAGGGGGGGCTGGAGCAATAACATAGTGTTTGCCTTGCATGCTGTCGACCTGGGTTTGATTCCCGGCATCCCATATGATCCCCCGAGCACCACCAGGAGTAATTCCTGAGTGCATGAGCCAGGAATAACCTCTGTGCACCACCAGTTGTGACCCAAAAAGCAAAAGAAAAAAAAAAGAGGGGGGCAAAGGGTTCAGAAAAATAGTATAGTGGGTAAGGCACTTGCTTTGCCTGTACAGGACCCCAGCATAATTCCTGGCACTGCATATGGTCCCCCAAGCACCACCTGGAGTGATCCTTGAGCAAGAGCCAGGAGTAAGACCTGATTCCAGTGTTCCCATGTGCTCTGTGTGTGGGGGTGGGGTGGGGGGGAACCAAAAAAACCCAACAAAATAAAAAAAAAAAACAGGCTGTTTGTTGTGCCTCTAACTTCCCATCTGAGAAATGGGGACAATGATCCCCACTGATCCCAGCCCTTCCCTACCAGCCTGTGGACAGGGATGACTGACAGCTCAAGTGTCGGGCTTGGCTATCAGGGGGCCCTCCTGGCCCCACTGTCCCAGCGAGCTGTCCTCACCATGCAGGTCTGTGCTGGAGAAGGTCCAGGGCTCATCAGCGTCGAAATGGGTGTCCCCACCCAGGCCCGGGCCGGGGAAATAGGCGTGGGCCAGGAAGCCCCCCATGCCATCGAAGGGGGAGCTGTCCCCGTGGAAGCCAGAGGCGAAGAGCACCATGATGTCAGCCTCCTTCTGCCGCCGCAGCCGGATGTCCTCGTAGGGCACCTCCTGGAAGACCAGCGGCGTGGCCTGCTCCCACACCCGGAAGGCCCTGCGCACTGCCTCCAGGGAGTGGTACCAGCCCAGCTTCTCCGTGTAGTTCTGGATGCTGTGGGGGAGGGCGCAGCAACACGGGCCAGTGAGCCTGGGGCTCTAGGCAGGTGGCCGGGACTCACACATGGCCTGACAGAGCCCAGGGACAAGACTGACCAGCTCCCTGCCCAAGGGAACTGCCATGCCAGGCCTGGGGGCTCGTCGGGGTATCATGAAATAAGACTGCACTGTGCCCAACAAGCTTATTTAATTAAGAAAGCCATTAAGTTAAAAAAAAAAAAAGTACAGATGACAGACGGCCAAGAAAAGGTCCTAGAAGGTGGGAGGCGGGCGAAGGGCTGAGGGTTGGGGGGGAAATGCCGGCCGAGCGCTGCTGGGCGCTGGGCCGATTCCAGGCTGGGCTCTAACCTTATCGCCGTGACCTTGGGCAGGGGACTCGGCCTTGCTAGTCTTAGTTCCAGGTGACCACTGCTTCCGCCCTGGGGTCCCCAGGAGGACTGAATCAGTGAACTCGGGTTGGGCGTGCACCGCCAAGTGAGAAGAGGCCCACGATCACCCCATAAACCTGGTTAAGCATCAGGGAGCTGACCAGACCTCCACGGCCAGGGGCTTGGACCCCAGAGGGGAGCTGGGGTCCAAGCTGTCGGCTCAGCTGCTCCTCCTCCAGTCCCCAGGTTCTGGGTGGCTGGGCTGGAACAGAGCCCCCTGGGGACTGGGATCCAGGGGACTCGTGGAAAGGAAGAAGGTGCCAGGACTGGGGCTCATGTGGGTGCCTGGCTGCCTGCCCCCCTGACAGATGCCAGGATTCCCGCACCTGGTGTTGCCTGGCTTGCCCCCATGCCCAGCGTGGGCCCCAGGAGTCCTTCTGGGTGGAGCTGCTTCTGCCGCTGGGGTCAGGGGGGAGGACTCCCGGGTGGAAGCAGCTTCACAGTGATCAGCGTGGGAGCAAGACCCTATGGCACTGACCAGTACCCCAGGGTGTACTACTGGGAGAGGAAGCCTCCCGAGGGGTCCCTACCTGAAGGTCAGGTGATGGCTGTTCCACTTCCTCCCGGTGAGGGCGTAGCGCTTCCGCCGCCGCCGCAAATTAGCCTTCACACGCACCCCAAACTGGTCTGGCACCCCACAGCGAGGCCGCTTCATCCACCTGGGCCAGAGGTGGGGAGTAAGCCCCCAGCCTGCCTTCCACAGCTCTGCCTTTCCCAAGGGTGCCCCCCTTCGGCCAGCCCCTCCAACAGGCCCTGGTGCAGAAGCGGGAGACTCCTGGGGGCTCATCAGGAGAACCAATGAGCTGGAGGATGGGGTGCCCCATGTCACCCAGGAGGGGCATTCTGGAAGCCTGTCCGTGAGTAGTTCTGCTCAGCAGGGAGGGGGCGTCCCTGACTCAGAGCAAGGCCAGGCTGGGCTGTGGCCCCGGACACACGACATGGCACCAGTTCCCCGCCTGTGCCAGACGTCACTCGGCAGTTCCAAGCCAAGATCCACACGGGGCCCCTCCCGACCTGTTGGAAGGACCCCGAGGACCAGATCTCTCTCCTGTAACTCCGCGTGCCCAGATAGTGCCTGGCAGAGGCGGGGAAGAGCCGTCCTGCTACAGGGACTCACGCCTTGGTCTCTTTGTCCAGGACACCTGTGACGGGGATGCCATAGAAGCGCTGCATCTCAGCCAGGGCGGAGGCCAGGATCTGGGCGGAGCGCAGGGTGGACATGTGGCGACTGGGCTGGGGCAAGTAACCGTAGAGGCGCAGCCAGTTCTGCAGAGACAAGGCCATGACCGCTCAGTGGGTCAGCCCCCCGCGCCCAACACACACACACCCGCTACCTCCAGCCGGACCCTGCTCCTTGCTCTCCCTGCCTCCGCCTCTGAGAGCTGTTCTCGAAAACCTGGACCAAAGGTCCCCTCCATGGGATCTGCCCAATGCTTTAAATGCTCCGGAAGCTTCTTATTTCAGAGGAAAAGCCAAGCCCTGTGGGAGTGACCAGGCCCTCACCACCTGGGCCTGATTCCGCTCAGCTCTCACTCAACCATCCAGGCAGGCTCTCCCTGGGGGCCACAGGGCCTTTGCACTCGCTGCTCCTACTGCCAGGAGACCTCCCTGCTTCCTGCAGTGCCTGGGTGGCTCAGAACCTCGCTTGTTCCAGGTCTCTGCATCACCCAGGGAGGTGTTCGAGGAATATCGATGTGGAAAAGCTCAGATCTTTCCCTCTCCTCATTCCCCTCAGAGGCCATCGACGCACTCTACCGAGAGCTTTCCCCGTGTGCTTCTCCCGGAAGCTGTGGCCCTAATTATTCCCACTAGCCCCTCATGGGACAAACTACTGGGAACCCTAAAGGTTCCAGACAACTGAAGCCCCCGGGCTGGGAGAGCATGAAGTCCACTGCAGGGGGCTGCTGGGGGCGTGTCCTCATGGGACCATGTCCCCAGCACCTTCCTGGCCCACCTTGGCTCCACAGGCCCCCAAAGCCAGGCGCTGTGAAGTTCTTTGGGGGTCTTAGACGGAGCAAGGCTGGCTAACAGTGAGCAAACATGTGTCACTGGCCATACCCACACCTGCCTGCCACTAGAGTGACATCCAAGGAAGGGAAGAAGAGAGGAAGGGAGGAAGAGAGGGAGGGAGGGAGGGAGGGAGGGAGGGAGGGAGGAAGGAAGGAAGGAAGGAAGGGAGGGAGGGAGGAAGGGAGGGTAGGAGGGAGGGAGGGAAGGAAAGAAGGGAAGGAGGCAGAGAGGGAAGGAAGGAGGGAGGGAGGAAAGGAGGGAGGGAGGAGGGAAGGAGGGAAAGAAAGGAAGGATGGATGGATGGAGGGAGGGAGGGAGGAAGGAAGGAAGGAAGGAAGGAAGGGGGAAGGGAGTGAAGGAAGGAGGGAGGGAAGGAAGAGGGAGGGAGAAGGGGGGAGGGAGAGTAAGGAGGGAGGGAGGCGAGGCCTCCCTGGGCCTCGCCCATAGTCAGCATAAGGGGGTCTCACAGGGGCTTCTGAGGGAAGGGAGTGGCCCTTGTGGTGGCCCCCACGCAATGCATTTTGGGTGGAAGGGCACAAGCTCGCCCAGGGCCCAAGTGCCCTGCCTCTAGGGCGCAGAAGGCCCCCTCAAGAGGGGACAGGAGCTCCCCGGTGCCCCTATGGCCACCTCACCAAGGGGGGCCCAGCTTGGGGCCTGCATGCGGAAAACCCCTCCCGAGGTGGCGGTTCTGGGTGCCTGGGGGCGGGGAACGGGCGTCCAGGGAGCGGGGAGGTCTGAGGGCGCAGGCGAGGCAGGGGGTGCTGCCGCGACAAGGGCACCTCGCCGCCACCCTGCTCGGAGGGTAAAAATATCTCCGCGCGAGCGAGCGCAATCACGGGCCACCAAGGGGCTGATTAGTGTCTGCCAGTGACAGGAGGCAGCTGAGGGGGGCTGGGGCAGTGGGGGAGGGGCGCTGGGCCTATCTACCCGGGGAGGGAGGCCCCCGAGGGGGCAGCACAGAGGCTGGCGGGCAGCTCCCCCGGTGGCTGGGGACCCTTCTTAGAAGACTAGGGAAATGGCCGGCTGTGTGTCAGCTGCCCTGAACACCCCCAGCCTCAGGGTCCCCGCGGGGCAGGAGAGTCCCCGCTGAGCAGGCATTCAGGGCGGGCGGCAGCCCGAGCTCGGCAGAAGCAGGCCAGGGGCTGGGTGCCAAGGGCCAGTGGTGCCAGGGAACCTGCCGTTGGCAGGGGCAAGTGGAGGCTGGTCCTGGCATCCGGCCCGCACCCCCTGCAGTGCTGTGTTGGGGCGTGTGGGGAGCCTGGTCAGGGGTGCACCGGGGACAGTGCTTCTCGTGCTGGGGGTGGGGACGCCCACACCCCAGGGACCCCAACCCGCTCGGGTGCTCTGCTGCCAGGGCTCAAACAGGGGGAGCAGCAACAGTACAGTGGGGGGGGAGGGGCAGGGCTCTTGCCTTGCTCATGGCTGACCCGACTCTGATCCCTGGCACCCCATATGGTGCCCCAAGCCTGCCTGGAGCAAACCCCCCAAAAACAACGGGTGTGGCCCCAAAACAACAACAAAAGGGGGGCAGGGAACAATTCCCAATTTTCGTGATCGCCTCCCAGTCTCAAAACGGGGAAGGGGTGGACGGCCCCTCAGCCTCCAGCCCAGGGTGACCCAGGGCAGGGCTCATACAAGCACCCTGGCCTGACCCCCAAAGCTGTGCAGGTGGAGAAACTGAGGCACAGAAGGCCGGGGAAGGAAGGCTGCGCCCCGGTTCTCCTCCTCTTTCCTGAGCTTAGACCCAGCCTGTCTTCAGTACAGATGCCTCAGGGGAGAGGTGAGAACGGGCCCCCCAGAGTCAGGGGGGATTCCTGGTGCCTGGCCTTCCCGGCAGCCCACATAGGCAGCAGCCAAGAGCTGCGGCTGTCAGGGGCCAGCCCGATCAGCCCGCCCGCCCGCTCAGCCATTCAAGTCACTGCATCCCAAAGCACTGTTTGCCAACCTTCTCCACCTGCAGCGGAGGCTGGAAACGGGTCCCCCAAGCAGGTCTCTAAGGCCATTCCCCGCAGATGAATGGTGGGGTTCAGAGAGGGGCAGTGGGGGCCAGGGAGATGGTCAGAGGGCTGCATGCACTCAGCAGGCTCTGATCCCTGCCACTTCCGGATCCCTGAGCACCCCTGAGAGTGACCCTGCTCCCAGCGTAGCAAGAGTCACTGCAGCCCCCACAGATGGGCAGCAACACAGCAGGCCACCCAGGTGCTAGGGTCAGCAGTTCGAGAGATCGGCTCCTCCCGGTGCTGGAGACTAGGACCCTCTGGGAGACACAGGCCTGGCCAGGCTTGGGAGCCGTGACCGTAGCAGCAGACCCTCCCTGCACCCCCACCTCTGCCGGCTGGGCTGGGCGCAGGGCCATGTCATCGGCGGGACAGGTCCTCCCCGCCCCCTGCGGGAGTGCAGGCCAAGGCCGGCAGCTCCGATCAATAGCCAGCATTAAGTAGCCCCGGGGAGGGGCTGCCCGCGCTGGGCTGCCATGAGGACAGTCTGGGGTCTGTCAGCTCTGGGGCTGTCACCAGGCCTTCTGCAGTCCTGGCCCAGCTGCCCGGGAGGGCAGGGCGGCCCCAGCCGGCCCCGCGATGGCACCAGACCTGGGCAGCATGCCCGCCTGCCCGCACTTTCCTCCCTGCCAGCATTAGCCTGGGGCGGGGGGGGGTGGGCTCCTCAATCTCAGCCATGACCAGGGTCACGGGGCGGGCGTGGAGCAGGCGGACCCTGGCCAGGCCCTGGCCCCAGGCGCACCTCACCCAGGAGCTCACAAACCAGCTAGGGGTGACCTAAAGGCCCTTAAGTCCAGCTACCTTGAGATACCTCCAGGGACCTCAGCCGCCAGGCCAGCACCCCTGCAGAGACGGGTTCCCCCAACTGCCACTCAGGGAGCTCTCTAGCCTGTGCACAGGATGCTAGAAAGTTCTTAGGCTGAGCAGAAATCTGCCCCTGGCACCATCTGCCTGGGTCCAGACCACGTTCTAGGGTGGGAGAGGCCCAGCCCCACCTCCTGCTTCTATCACCTGGGCTGGACAGGATGAGGAGGACACAGTCACTTAGAGGGGGAGGGGCTCAGATCTTCCCACCTCAAAAGAACCGTGAGCAGAGAATGGAGCTCTGGATGACTGACAGGGAAAGTGGCTGGCATAGGGGGCTGTCCAGTCCAGGGGCAGGAAGGAGACACCCCCAGTTCTACCCCCAACCTAGAGGAAAAGCCAGCAGGGCCCAGCAGTGGGGGGCGCCCTGCTTCCTAGAAGCTTCAGGTGGGCTGCCGGTCAGGGCTAGGGGCCTCCATGGGAACCCCTGTGGGTGCTGCTTTCCAGGGGGCTGGGCTGGTGCTGGAGACTAGGACCCTCTGGCTCCCACGCCCCCTCCGGCCGCCCAGCAGGCTCCTCAGATGACATGGCCTCAGCAGGGCAGCAAGGCCCTGCCCGACAGTTTCCACCAAGCCTGAGGCTGGCAACCCGGGCTCCAAGCCAGACCGGTCATCTGGACTCAGCTCTGCCCTGACGTCACCCCACTGGCTACAGAGATCTGGGGTCACTTCTCCGACCTCGGTCTCAGTTTCCCCTGCTGTATAATGAGGTAGCAACCGTATACCTATGCCTATCAAGTACACAGGCAGCGTCCAGGGCTAAAGAGATCATAGCACGGGTAAGGCACTTGCCTTGCTCATAGAAAGGCCGGGTCCTTCTCCAAAACCACGTGTGACCCCCTGAGCCCCACCAGGAATGATCCTGGAGCCCAGAGTAAGACTGGAGCAGAGCTGGGTGTAGCCCCCAAGTCCTAACACTCCAATGAAGAAAAAAGCAGCATTGAAGTAAAAAGTGGGGGCCAGAGACAGCGTGTGGAGGAGGTTGAGAAGCCCACTGCCCCCCTCACAGACACCCCTCCTCAGCCCCGGACAGGCGCCTTGTTTCAGTCCTGGACACACTGGTCAGCCTTTCCCCAGTGCTGCCCCAAGAGGTGCTGGAATCTTTTTGATGTCTGGGGCTCACACCTGGCTATGCTCAGGGCTTACTCCTGCATAGGAATCATTCCTGGCGGCACTCGGGGGAACCCCATGGGATGCTGGGAATCACACCCGGGTCAGCTGTGTGCGTGGCAAGCGCCCCCCCCCCCCCGACTCTTGCTCTGGCCCCAGGAGTATTCCCCTTCTATAAGCCCAGAAAAACAGGCCCAACCATGTGTGTCCGCCCCTTGCTTTTCACCCGTCAGTGGGTGCTGCCACCGTCTCCCAAATGCTTCCTGGGTCCCAAGGGCCCTGCCTGTACATGCTGGGTGTAGATCTGGGCTCTCACCCAAGGGTGACAGGAAAGAGGAAGTGAGGACCCAGGGCTAGGGGCCAGCCCAAGAGCCGACCCAGACCCTGGTCTCCAGGGTGGCTGCCCACAGGGACCCGGGTCTATCAAGACGAGTGTGGGGGTTGGGCTGCCACGCTCACTTCCCAAAGCCCCACGAGGGGAATGGGGTGTGGAAAGAGAGCTCGGCTTTGTCCTGGCGCTTGGCCAAGCCGGCACACCTCTGAGATTCCTGCCTGCGGCTGCAGAACCAACAGACCCGCCCGCAGACCAGCCGCCGACAGCTACTGCGCCTAGGCTGCCCGAACACTTTCTCTTTAGTCTCTGGGCCACACCCGGCGGGCGATACTTGGGGATCACTCTGGGTGGGGCTCAGGGCACCATATGGGGTGCCAGGAATCAAACCTGGGACAGCGGCGTGCAATGCAGTGCCTCTGCACTATGACTCCAGCCCCCGGGACAGTGTCTGCAGGGGCAGCCTCCTTCCTTCCAGGGCTCCTCCAGCCAAGGCGCCCCGAGTACCTGGGCCTCACACATATCTGGGGGTGGGTGCTTTTCAGGATGCCTGGGAAAGGAGTGGGAACCCAGCAGAGGCCTCTGACTTGTGTTTCTGCAGCACCAGAAATGTCTGGCCATGGGGCTTGGTAACTCCCCTCCTCCCTGCACTGCCGGAACAAGCACCCCACAGCCAGCAGCTCCCCTGACCTGCCACGACTCCTCACAGTTCTATGCGCTGGGAATTCCAAGTCTTTTTTGGAGTGGGGAGGCACACCCAGAGATGCTCAGGGGTTACTCTAGTCTCTGCACTGAGGGATTACACCGGCTGGGGTTCAGGAACCCTAAGTATGGAATGCTGGGGATCGAACTGGGTCAGCTTCAGGTGAGGTAAATGCCCTCTCCACTGTACTGTCTCTCTGGCCCTGGAGCTGGGAGTTCAAGACTGGGGTGCTGGGGGCTGGGAAGAGCCCTCTTCCTGGGTGTCACCTTCTGCCACCTTCTCACGGGCCCTCATCCGGGGCAAGGGCAGATGTCCAGACAGGTCCTCAGGCACAAATCCCACCCCAGAGGCTCTGGCTACCAACCTGACCCCCCACCCCTCATTATCACTACTCTGGACGTAAGCTTCTGCTGTATGAATCGGGGTGTGCTGCGTATGTGGGCATCACTGGACTGCACTGGCTACAACCGGAGCCAGGCTCACTCCCAGTCCAGGGGCAGCCCATGGGGACACCCGGATTCAGGCCTGAGTCCCCGCTCCCGGCCCAGCTGAACTGATAACAGCTGATGGCAGGGAATTACTAGATGAGGCCGAAGGAGGGTGGGGTGACCAGAACTGAGTGCTTGGCAGGGAGGGCCACGCCTGGCAGCTCTGCTAACCCGAGCTGGCATCAGAGTATGGGGCCATGGGCATGGGGATTCTGGCAGTCGTCTTTGGCGAGGCCTGGATGTGTCCCTATCTTGCCTCTCCCCACCCTAGGAGTGGGTGAACAGATCTGTGCCCAGTCTTCAAAAGGCCTCAGGGCTGGTGCCCAGTCCCTCTGCTGTTTCCCATGAGGAGGCATCTGACTTCCACTCAGGGGCATCCCATGCGGTTCAAATCACAGCAACCAGCCCCCCACCATGCCCAATGGTCTGCGTTTCTCTGGGGTTGGAACTAGAAGATGGAGAAGAGAAGGAACAAAGGACACACACACACACACACACACACACACACACACACACAACGGTGCCAGGATGAGAAGAGAGAAGATGCAGCTTCTATGGGCTTTCACTGGTCCTCACATTACGCCGGACCCTGAAAGGATGGGGGTGGGGGGGGAACTCATCATAGCCTCATAAAGGGTGTGATGGCTGGAGCGATAGTACAGTAGGTAGGGTGTTTGCTTTGCATGAGGCTGATCCGGGTTCGATTCCCAGCATCCCCTATGGTCCTACGAGCACCACTAGGCGTAATTCCTGAGTGGATGAGCCAGGAGTAGCCCCTGAGCATTGCTGGGTGTGACCCAAAAAGCAAAAAAAAAAGGGGGTTGTTGGGGGCAGGGGGACGGACAGGGAAGCACAGGAAAGGGGGCTGTGACTTCGAGCAGACCCAAGGGGCAGCACCCCAGTTCTAGCTCCCTCTGCCCTCCTTCTGCACATCTTGGCCATCTGGTGTGTCTGTGTGTCAGTGGCAGTTACCACACTTGTGGAGGCAGCGGGCAGGTGAGTCACCTGCAGGGAGGGTGAGTGGGGGAGGGGCGAGGACAGCTGGAAGGGACGGGGCTTCCTTGAAAAAAACTGACTTCTGCAGGGTGGGCAGGTCAGAAGGGTGAGGCTGGGAGGGCACCTGCCTTGCGTGTGGGCAGTCCAGTTTTGATCCCGGCATCCCATATGGTCCCTGAGCCCTGCCAGGAGTAAGGCCTGAGCACAGCTGGGTGTGGCCCGCAGGGGAGAGAGAGAGAGACAGAGACAGAGACAGAGACAGAGCGAGACAGTCAGAGGGAGAGCGAGATTGAAAGAGAGGGAGGGAGAGAGAGAGCTAGTTAGAGAGCAAAGAGAGAGCAAAAGAGAGGGTGAAAGCAAGTGAGTGAGAGAGGGAGGGACAGACTGAGAGCGAGAGGTAGTGTGACAGAGAGAGGAGAGAGCAGGAGAGAGGGAGAGACAGAGAGGAAGAAAGTGAGGGAGGGCAGAATAGAGTAAAAGAGAGAGAGAGAGACAGACAGACAGAGAGACAGAGAGACAGAGAGACGGGGGGAGGGGCAGAGAGAGAGAAGGGCAGAGAGCAGGAGGGTGCTTAGGTGAGAAGCACCAAGTCAGGCTGGGTGGGAGCCTGGTGGGGCAGAACACCTGCAGCACCCTAACCCTAACCCTAACCCTCCCAGGGCATGTGCATGTGTGTTTGTGTGGGGGGAGAGGGGAGCAGAGAACACTGGGAGGGGAGGGGCTGGCCCACTCCGCCCCCATCGAGGTACTGGGGCACCTCCAGCCCGAACCAACTGCAGTCTGGGGTCCCGCCTGCCCACTCAGCCCTGCTCGGGGGCAGGAGGCTCCAAGTCTGGAGCTGGGAAAATCCTCTGCGCCCAATCGGGTCAGAAGGGACAGACTCCAAAGAACAGATCCAGCCCAGAGATGACCGGAGCTGGGAAGAACATTCTGCCCGGACCCTCCATCCAACTTCATCTACCTCCCCGCCGCCAATATCCGAAGGTCCTGTAAGCCCTGTGGGTTCCCAGGCAGGACCCAGAGATGGGCTGCGGGCCGGTCAGAGAAACTGGTGCCACCATGACGTTTGGGTGCTGTGTAGTCTGTGGGCCCCCTCTGGGGCTGGCGGGGGAATGGGCGGCAGCAGACCGAAGCAAAGAAGAGCAGGAAGCCCCTTGCAGCTCAGCTGCAGCGCCCAAAGCCTGGCCATCTTGGAGGCCAATGCACAGGGCACGGTCAGCCGCGCTGGCTACATCCCTAGCAGCTTCCGATCTCCAGAGACTCAAACTCCGGGAGGGCCTGGGACTTGCGGTGCTTCCCTGGACTCTGCTCCCGAGTGGCAGGTGTACCCACAGGCACTCTTCTGTTCCCTGCAGGGCTGGCAGGCCACCAGTCCCCCGCCTGAGCTTCTGTGTGAATGGGGATGGCTGGCTGCTGGGCTCCGCCTCTGTCTCCTGCCAGGCTGCCAGGGGCCAGTGCTCGGCAGTTACTCGCCAGGCTGGCCTGGGAGGGAGGGGAGGAGGGAGGACGGTGAGCAGGTGGGAGACTGACGGGAGGTGTAACTCGAGCCTGGAGGAATTCCCTGCCCTTCGTCCCCGGCTTTTATTAAAGTAGGGCGGGGAAGGGCAGGCTTCCATAAGAAAAATCTCCCAGGCTGCCCGGGGAGGTGGGGAAGCGACTGGGACTGGGAGGGAGCACCCACCGGCTGCAAATAGAAACAAGGCACTGGGCCCCGCAGGGAGGCTCCAGCCGCCCCAAGGACACCCAGGCTCCAGCCGGCTGCATCTCAAGTCCCCATGCTCGCTGTCCAGTCTCTTGGACTGGAGGCGAGGTCGCGCCGAGTCGGGAAAGAACGACTCCCCATTTTGCTGCGGGGCAGCCGGAGCTGGTGCGCTCACTGCTGCTCGGGAGGGCGGTGCTGAGGCACCCCACGGAGCCTGGGGCTCTTGCTGGACCCGGCCCTGCACCAGAAGGCCGTGCTTTGTCACCCCCGGGACCGATCCCGAGAAGGGCCCGCGGGGACGTCAGGCGGGCTCCGGGCAGAAGATGCACGGAGCGCGCGCGCCCCACCCCGCGCGCAGCGCTGGGGGGTCAGCGGGGAGGCAGCTCCGGGAGAGAGAGCGTCTCCCTCTGACCTGCGCGAGAGTCCAGAAAAAGTCGCCCAAGCACCCCACGGTCTGTTGCCCCGCGGATTCGCACTCCCCATTTCCCACCACCCATTCCGCCTCACCGCGCGCGCGGCTGTGCCACTCGGATCAGCGACTCCCCAGGCGACAGCGGCTTCACCCGGGGTCTCCCCACCCCCGCCCGGAGCGGCCCCCGGCCCGCTAGCCAAGCTCATCCCGTCGCGCCCGCAGGGCTCTCGAGGAATCCAGGGGGGCCCACACAGGAAGGAAGGGGGAGGCAAGGTCCGGGAGTGGGGGCGCAGAGGCATCATCGGTGCACGGAGCCGGGCGGCGGGGTGCGGAGCGGGCGCGAGCCAAGCGTCCTCGGGGACTTGGAGAGAGGCACCCCGCGGCGGGCGAGCTGGAGAGGGGACAGCCGGCCAGGTCCCCTTTCCTCCCCGCCCCCGGGGGGGAGGGGGGCTCGAGTGGGCGCCCTCCATCTCCGAGCTCCAGCCGGCGGGCGTGGCTACCTCCGCCCCCCCCAACCCCCCGCAAGACCCCGGCCCCGGGGCCGAGGGGGCTAGGCGTGGGGGGGGGGGCGGGGGTCCTTACCTCGGCGTTGACTTGCGCGTCCTCCGCCGCGGCGCCGCGGCCCAGGCAGCCCAGCAGCAGCAGCAGCAGGAGCAGCGGCAGCCGCCGGGGCCGCGCCTTCGCCGCCGCCGCCTCCTCCTCCTCCTCCTCCCGGCCGCCTAGGGGGCTTCTCGGCCGGCCCGACCGTCCGGGCGCGCCCGCGTCGCCGCCGCCCATGCTCGGGGCGCGGGGGGTCCGGCCGGGCGCGCGGCAAGAGCGCGGGGCCGGCCGGCTCGCCCGGGCTCCGCACGCGCCGCCGAAACTTGCGACGCTGCCCGCCTGCCCGCCCGGTCCCGGGGTCCGCCGAGGCGTCCCCCCGCCCCCCCACACCACCGCCGCCACGTCCCGGCAAATTCCCACGGCCGACGGGGACGCGGGGCGCACGGCAGGTCCCCCGCGCACCGAGCTGGCCGGCCCGCGCCCACCGCCGGGGGCGTCCCGCAGCCCCGCGCCCGGGGCCCGGCGGCCGAGAGTGGGCGCAAGTCCCGCGCCTTTGTCTGGCTCAGCGCTCCGGCCGCCCGGTCCCGCGGCGCCCCCCGCGCGCCCGGCTCCCTCTGCCCATGCCCGGGGCAGGGCGCGCGCCCTCCCGCCCGCCCGGGCGCTCCGCGCTTCCCGCGCCCCACCGGGCCCGGCTGCCCCGCGAGGTCCCGGGAGGAGGCGCAGCCGGCGGCCGGCGGGAGCGAGCGAGCGAGCGAGCAAGCGAGGGAGCCGGGGAGCCGGCGCCCGACGTCCCCGGCGACTTCGGCGCAGCTCGGGGCGCTCCCGGCCCTCCTCCCCGCGCGCCGCGGCCGTCGCGCTCTTAAAGGGCCCGCGCCTTCTCTGCGCGCCGCCCGCGCCGGGGCCGGGGGGGCGGGACCCCCAGCGGCAGGTGCCGGCGGCCAGGCCCCACGGGGGTGGCTCTGGGGCGACGGTTCCCAGACGGCGGGAGGCGTCCCTGCCCGCCCACTTTCCCAGTCACTCCCGATCGGTGCTAGGGGTGCAGGGGAGGGGTGGCCGGGAGATGGACTTCCAAAGCTACCCCCCGCCTCCGAAGGGGGCGATGACAAGACTGTCTGGAGGGGCTTGAGCGACAGTACAGCGGGTGCACGCGGCCAACCTGGGTTCGATCCCCGGCATCCCACAGGGTCCCCTGAGCACTGCCAGGAGTGATTCCTGAGTGCAGAGCCAGGAAGAACCCCTGAGCATCGCTGGGTGTGACCCAAAAAGCAAAAAGAAAAAAATAAAAAAGAAAAAAGAAGAAGAAGACTGGAGAGGCCCCTTTCTTCCACCTGGGGGGATGCAGGGTGGGAGAAGGGCTGGAAGGAGGGCCAGGGGAGGAGGCACCCAAGGGGTGCTGCTTTCGGCAAAGCCCTAGGCACGTGTTGGTCCGAGGCAAGGGTGTCTTTAGCTGACCTGGCCACCTGCCCCAGGTGCCACATGAGGGCCGCGGTGGACAGAGCATATTCCGGCCACTTCCCTGGGGCTTTCTCAGTTTCCACGTCCTTCTCCAGGACAGGGATCACGGGCTGGGGCGAGAACTTCAGTCTGTTTCCTCTCCGGTCCTAGAGCACAGGAGGGGACCATGCAGTGGCCAGTGCGTGCTGCCAGTGACACGCCACGTTGTGGCTGAGTCTGCTCGATCTTACTCTGCTCGCTTGGGACCCGCAGGTGGGGTGGGGTGGGTGGATGCGGAAGGCCTGAGCTCGCGGCCCTGGAGGTGGGGGCTAGTGCAAGGTCCATGAGGCTGCGATTGCAGATCGGGGCAGTCCCGGCCAGGGCAGGGGCGGCAGGGTCCGGAGGTGAGGGCAGGCGGAGGGCGCGGGAGGGCGGGGACCGTCCCCGCCTGCTCCCCTCCCGGTCCCGGAAATCGCAGCTTTCCTTACCTGCGCGCCCACCCGCCTCACCTCCGGAAATCCGCAGGGATCTGGGAGAGTTTATTAGAAAATACCTGTTTGAACCCACAGGTGAAGGGGGGAGGGGAAACGCGCTGTTAAAGAGAACAGATAAAAGTCAAAGTGGTAACAATGACAGATTTCCTCTTTTAAAAATTGCTGTGGAGGGGGGAGCGGGTGGGTAGGGGGCGTCAGAGGCTGGTACAAGGGATAAGGCGTTCGCCTTGCACAGGCCGACCCAGGTTGCATCCTTGGCATCCCTTATGGTCCCCCAAGCACTGCCAGGACAAATTCTTGCGTGCAGAGCACCTCTAGGTGTGGAAAAAAAAACACCCAAAAAACACCCAAATAAATAAAAATACAGGAGCCAACTTCTGGTAAATGAACCTTGGCCCTCCCCACCCTTCTTCCCACCCCACCCCCCTCCCTTTAAAAAAAATGCTATAGGGGAAGAGGGATTCTAGTATAGGATTGGGCTCAATCCAAAATACAGCCAGAACAAGTAGGGATTTATAGCCACGAGGCAAGTGTGGGGGAGGGGGGAGTGGCCACTGGGGATGGAAAATTGCCAAGAGGAGGCCAGTCTGAGAAGGGTGTGTGTGTGTGTGTGTGTGTGTGTGTGTGTGTGTGAGATCAGATATCACCTGGGGGGCAGTGGGGATTCCGGCTGGATCAGATATTGAGGGTGGGAGATTCTGCTCCAACTGACTTAGCAGGTTTTGTGATAAAACTGCGTCCTATGAGGAAGTACTGTGATGGGCCTTCTGGGGTAGGGCTCAAGGGAGCAGGACTCACCTGCGGCTAAGGAAGGGATTTTCATCCCTCTCCTTCCAGGGAAGAAGCCTTCTTTCCTCTCAGCAGTGCAAGTCCTTTGTTTCCTCCAGGCTCCGCTGAACAGTCAAGATTTAGTGACGGTTACAGGTGGCTGTGCCTTGACTTTAGTTTCTTGTTGTTGTTGTTCTGTTTGGGGGCCACATCTGGTGATGCACAGGGCATACTCCTGGCTCTGTACTCAGGAATTACTTTTGTGGTGCTCGGAGAACCATATGGGAAACGGGGAATTGAACCCAGGTCGGCCACGTGCAAGGCCAATGCCCTCCCGCATGTTGCTCCAGCCTCATGTGTGAAGACTTTTATTTTATTTTAATTTTTGAAAATTTTATAAAGTGGGGTTGGAGTGATAGCACAGTGGGTAGGGCATTTGCCTTGCATGCGGCTGACCCGGGTTCAATTCCCAGCATCCCAGGAGTGTGCATCGCCTGTGCATTGCCGGGTGTGACCCAAAAAAAATTTATAAAGTAGTTCACAATATTTGATTACATTTGATATTCAAATACCAATCCCACCATTACACCTTCCCACCACCATATTTTGGATTTCCATCAGAAACCCCAACCCCTGTCCCAAAGCAGAACCAAAATAATACGTTTTGTATTGACAGTATTGTTTGTTATGAAAAACTGCTGAAAATGCTACAAAAAAGTTTCCTTAGCGAGGAAAGAGTGTGAAGATTGTTGTATTTCACCCAAGAGCCATTAAGCCCTTCTATAAGAGATCATTAACATGTTATTAAAGGTTGAGCCTTGCATGCATGTATATATATATGTGTGTGTGTGTAAAAATAAATTCCCTCTAAGATTAGTTGCTTCCCCATTTGAACCCCATCAAATGTGGTGTGGTACTCTTGGAGTATGGGTAGGGTATGTGGTACGAAGTGTCACGTGGCTGCATGTGCGGTCACATGGTCCAGGATAGGTTCACTCATGGGGAGCGGCCGTGAGCATGGCAGTGGTTGGGTTCTGGAGGATTCCAGCCGCTGGGGCTGGGTCCTTTGGGGGAGGAAGGGGTCTTACCCACCCCCCTCGGGGGCTCCCTGAGTGAAACAGCCTGGTGCGGCAGGGTCTGGCGGCATGGTTATAGTGAGTGTCATGTTATGCTCCCTTCCGGGAGAGAAGGACATGTGACTCTGGATGGTGGCCGATGATGAGATTATCTGGGTGTGCAGACTTTCAGTGAGAAAGAAAACCTCGAAAGGAAACAGAAAGACAGATGTGAGGGCCTTGTCTTCAGAGGGGACATAGCTCAGCGACGGAATGCTTGCTTTCCATGTGTGAGGCCCTGGCTTGATTCCTGCAACACAGCCCTCCCCCAACAAATTGAGGGGGGGGGTAGGAGAGACGCTGAATATATCTGCCCAGCGTCCCTGGACCAGCAGGGGCCTGGAACCATGTCCTTCCCAGAGGTGGCAATGCCCTGGCCCAGCTGCACATGTTTCTTCCTGTCTGTCATCTGTCTAGTTAGGCTAGAGACCTGCATGGCTGGGGACACGGGTGAATCACTCACCGCAGCCTCTGGGTAAGTGCCCCCCAGGGCAGACAGGCTCATTCTGGAGAACAGAGAACAGAGCACTGGTGTTCTCCTAGGCGGGGCTCACTGACCTGACGCCAGACGGAGGCTAGCCAGAGGACAGCTGTGACCCCAGGGCTCTGTTGGGTCTGTGACCCCAAGGTTCCGTTGTGGAGTCCACCTTCCTGGGGAGTGGGGAGAGGAAAGGAGGGCCACTCTGCCGTGCCGGGGGCCACTCCTGGCTCTGTGCACTTGGGGTCATTTTTGGTGGTTCGCGGGACCATGTGGGGATTGAACTGGGGTTGGTCACATGCACGGCAAAGACCTTCACCCCCCCCAAGAATATCTCTCTCAGCCTGAGCCTAAATTCTTCAGTCAGGAGACGGAATCCTCAGGTTGTGAGGCTGTGGGCTGAGCGTATGCCCCGTCTGTACCTGCTTTGGATAAATCTCCTCAGGGGACCTGTGATGATTTGGATACCTCTTTTTTTTTTTTTGCTTTTTAGGTCACACCCAGCGATGCTGAGGGGTTACTCCTGGGCATCTGCACTCAGGAGTTACTCCTGGTGGTGCTCGGGGGACCCTATGGGATGCCGGGGATGGAACCAGGGTTGGCCGCGTGCATGGCAAACACTGTGCTATCACTCTGCCCCCCCTAGATACCTCTTGTTCTGTTAGGGAGGCAAGGGAAACTAGACGGATCAGTGATCAGTTTAGAAAGTTCAGGAAAGGTAGAAAGTAGGCTGGGGAGTAACACAAGTGGGAGAGCAGAGATCTGGCTCGGGGACACCCCACCTTTGACCCACGGCACTGCATGGCCCCCTCGCAACACTAGGGATAGTGCTAATGTGCCTTCAGCATTGCGGGCCCTATATCAAAAACTAATTAAGTGGGGCTGGAGCAACAGCACAGCAGGTAGGGCGTTTGCCTTGCACGCGGCCAGCCCGGGTTCGATTCCCAGCATCCCATATGGTCCCCTGAGCACCGCCAGGAGTAATTCCTGAGCGCAGAGCCAGGAGTAA